GGGTGTTGGTCTTAGGAATCTATGTTTTCGTAAGATCAGCAGTGAACACTAATGAATGCAGGCAGTCCCTGACTTACGATGCTTTAACCTCATGGTGCTACACATTCAGGAGCAAGTGCACGTGGCCTGTTCAGTTTGGGTCTTTCCCCGGGCTACTGTAGTGTGGTCCGATCTTCTCTGGTGATGCTGGGCAGTGCCTGGGCAGCAGCACCCCCAGCTCATGGGCAGCCCTGTGGTCACCAGGGAAACCACCCACACTCTCCCACAGCATGCTTTGCTGCTCAGCCATTAAATGCATTTTCCACTTAGAATATCTTCAACTTAAAATGGGTTTCTAGGGACGTAACCTAGAGCGGGTTTCCATGGTACATCCAGGAGCATCTGTATTTGAGAATTCCCAGAGGCATGCTCTCCAGCTTTGCCCTTTACCAAGGTCTCCGTGGCCCGGTGGTCTTCCATTCTGGCTGAGTAGAGGGACTCATGCCATGCAGGAGAGCAAGATGCCTGCTCCTCACTTGTGTTTGCCGCACCTGGCGTCTTTCTCATCTCCTAAGCCCTCCCTCACCTTCTGCCTCCAGAAAGTGACTTCTTTGAGGTTTGGGCTTAAAACACATATTTTCCACAGATTTTAAAAGGTGATTATAAATACAGAAGTAATGGAGGCTTACATGTTTTAAAATCTGTGGGTGACAGCGGGTCAAAGAAAAAGAGGACCATATAATTCCACTGTCCAAGACCACAACTAGGGACATTTGCATGAATTTCCTTTAGTCTGTCCTGGGAATTTTTAGTTATTATCTTATATGATCCGCATTTTTCTTCTGGCTTTATCATGGACATTATTTTAGCCATTTCCCCAAGTTAAACTCGTATTACCAGGGCTGGCGCTGTGGCATAGTGGGCTAAGCCTGCACCTGCAGTGCCGGCATCCCATATGGGCACCGGTTCTAGTCCCAGCTGCTCCACTTTCCATCCAGTTCTCTGCTATGGCCTGGGAAAGCAGTAGAAGATGGCCCAAGTCTTTGGGCTCCTGCACCTGCATGGGAGACCCAGAAGAATCTCCTGGCTCCTGGCTTCAGATTAGCTCAGCTCCAGCCATTGCGGCCATCTGGGGAGTGAACCAACGGATGGGAGACCTCTCTCTCTGTCTCTCCCTCTCTCTGTCTGTAACTCTACTTCTCATGTACTTAAAAAAAAAACTCTTAATGCCCATTTTACTGATGGTCATCAAAGAAATACAAATTGCTAAAGATGATATAGCATTATTTTCATCTACCAAATAAGTAAAAATATAGGAGGGAATTTCTAAAAGCTCCCTGGAGGAGCAGCCACTTAGCCTACTGGTAAATGTACCTGCATCCCCACCCGAGTATCTGGGTTTGATACTCTGGCTCTGGCTCCAGATTCCATCTTCATACTAATGCAGTCCCTGAGAGGCAGCATTGATGGCTCAAATAGTGGAGTCCTGCCACCCATGTGGGAGACCTGGATTGCATTCCTGGAGCCTGGCTTCATCCCTGGCCCAGCCCCAGCCCCAGCTGTTAGGCATTTGGGAAATGAGCCAGCAGATGGAAGCTCACTTGCTCGTTCTCTCTCTTTCTCGGCCTCTCAAATTTAAAAATAAATAAACTCATAGAAAACTTGCATCGTCTTTTCATTCTATTTTCCATAAACTTTTTGAATCCCCTCCTTCCTGTATATATATATATATAGAGAGAGAGAGAGCGCTATCTTATTTTTTTTAAGATTTATTTATTTGAAAGAGTTACACAGAGAAGGAGAGGCAGAGAGAGAGAGGTCTTCCATCTGCTGGTTCACTCCCCAGTTGGCTGTAATGACCAGAGCTGTGCCAATTTGAAGCCAGGAGCCAGGAGCTTCTTCCAGGTCTCCCACACAGATGCAGGGACCCAAGGACTTGGGCTCTCTTCCACTGCTTTCCCAGGCCACAGCAGAGAGCTGGATCAGAAGTGGAGCAGCTGGGTCTTGAACCGACATCCATAAGGGATGCCAGCACTGTAGTCAGTGGCTTTACCTGCTACACCACAACGCTGGCCCCAACCCTATATATTTTCAATTTTCAGTGAGAACACCAGATGCTGCTGAAAACTCTTGAACTAGGACTGTGCACTGACACCACTTAAATAAGACCTGTAGATGGGGTCGGTGCTGTGGTGCAGTAGGTTTATCCTCAGATAAACTTCAGATCGGTGCAGCTCCAGCCATTGCAGCCATTTGGGGACTGAACCAGCGGATGCTCTGTCTCACTGTAACTCTACCTCTCAAATAAATAAATAAAATCTTAAAAAAAAACAGAGAGGTGATTCTGCCTTTTCCCCAGAAACCTCACGGGGCAGACTGTAGTCCTAAGTAAGGAACAAACTGTATACTGAGACACAGTACCTGCCTTTGTGTTGTTGTGAATGATAAGTGAATGTTCATTCAACAAGGATTTAGACTTGGGGCTGGCGCTGTGATGCAGTGGGTAAAGCCTCTGCCTGCAGTGCTGGCATCCCACATGGGCGCTTGTTCTAGTCCCAGCTGCTCCTCTTCTGATCCACCTCTCTGTTATGGCCTGGGAAAGCAGTAGAAGATGGACCAAGTGCTTGGGCCCCTGCACCAATGTGGGAGACCCGGAAGAAGCTCCTGGCTCCTGGCTTTGGATGGGTACAGCTCTAACTATTGCAGCCAGTTGGGGAGTGAACCAGCAGATGGAAGACACCTCTCTCTCTCTCTCTCTCTCTGTAACTCTGACTTCCAAATAAATAAATAAATCTTAAAAAAAAAAAAAAAAAGGATTTAGACTCATGCCCAGACAGGAGTTTGGCTAGCTGTTTGAACAAATAATAATAATAACATACAGGAAAATTTCAAAATGTTTGTAGAAAATGGAATTAAAAGATACATTTATTTTTATGCAAACATTTTTGATATCCATGCATATGAGACCTCTTCCAGAAGTCATTGGAAAATGCACAGTGTGAAAAAACTACCCATGAATCCTAAAATTATTTGGCACCAAAATAAACATATCTTTAAATTCCAGTTTCCAGAATTCACAGGACCCTTACATATACATTTGAATAACAAAAGACATTTACAAAACAGCTAATCTGTTCAGCCGTTAGGATTGGGAAGGAAATTATGATGCAGCCACATGCTTTCATCCTGTGCAGCCAATAAAATGATGTGGTGAAAGAGTTTTCCTGTTTTTACCCAATCAGCATTTTGTGTGTACCGTCTGTGTGAACCAAGTGATTGGAAAAACACTTCCAGGTGCCCACATGGAGATGCTGCTGCCTGCCTGGGGTAAGTCAGCTACGTATTCTCCCCCACGCTCTCCATACCGAGTGTGCAGACAGAATCTGGGATGCCATTGGTGCTACTGTCTTGCCTGTACGTGTATCCCAGTTGTGAGTCTATGATTATAAAACACACTTATAAAATGTGCCTTTCCTTTAATTCACTTACTTTGTCTACTAATGCTGCCCAGGACACGAACTGTGACAAACTTTTCCCAAAACACTTCCAAAGACCCAGCTTTACACACACACACACACACACACACACTTTTCATCTCTTTCCACTGTCCTCAAAGGTCCTTGCACCAGGCTTGTTTTTTCTGGCTGTTGAGTTATTTTAAGAACGCCCAGAAAAGTTTTAAAAAGTTCCTAGGGGCCAGCATTGTGGCACAGTGGGTCAGTCCACCACCTGTGGCTCAGGCATCCATATGAGTGCTGGTTCAAGTCCTGCTCCACTTCCAATCCAGCTGCCTACTAATGCACCTGGGAGACAGTAGCAGATGGCCCAAGTGACCAGGATAGCATTCCAGGCTCCTGGCTTCAGCCTGGCCCCAGCCCCACCCATTCAGGCCATTGGGGGACTGAACCAATGATTGGAAGGTCTCTGTCTCTCTCCCTTTCTCTGCCTCTCAGATGACAGTAAGTCTTTTTTAAAAATGGGCTCCTAAAAAAGTTTGATTCTCAGCCGGCACTGCGGCTCAATAGGCTAATCCTCCGCCTTGCGGCGCCGGCACACCCGGTTCTAGTCCCGGTCGGGGCGCTGGATTCTGTCCTGGTTGCCCCTCTTCCAGGCCAGCTCTCTGCTGTGGCCAGGGAGTGCAGTGGAAGATGGCCCAAGTGCTTGGGCCCTGCACCCCATGGGAGACCAGAAGTACCTGGCTCCTGCCATCGGATCAGTGTGGTGCGCCGGCCGCAGCAGCCATTGGAGGGTGAACCAATGGCAAAGGAAGACCTTTCTCTCTGTTTCTCTCTCTCTCACTATCCACTCTGCCTGTCAAAAAAAAAAAAAAAAGTTTGATTCTCAGTGAATTTTGACCCATGGCTTCTCTGGACTCTGGCTTCCAAACATGTTCTGATGTGAACTCCATGTGATGCCATGGAGTCCAGCGCCTGGGGGTTAAACTGTGAAGCCTCACTTCCTGAGCCCTGTTTCCCCAAGCCAGACCTCTGTGCCCCCCAGGTCTGCCAGGCAGGCATCAGGGGCCTGCAGCCAAGCACACGCACCGCTTCGTCGAAGCCCATGTAGAGGAACTGCTGGTACCACTGCTGCACCTCCGGCCGGGTCCGGTCCCACAGCTGCCGCTTCTGCCGCTTCAGGCTACTAAGGAATTCTTTGGCTTTGTTCTCATCAACAGCCACTTCTGTCTTCGCTGGAGCAAGTGCTGAAATAGTTAACCCCGCCCCCCAAAGTACAAGGCATGATTTCTGCGCTTATTGGAGTGGATTGCTGTTCAACCCCATCCCCCACCCCTGCCTGCCACACACAGGATGGTTTCAGCTCTAGACTTGGTTCTTACATGCGTGGAATAAAACACAGCTGCGTACCATTGGTTTCCAGGCCTCCCACTTGGCTGCAGACATATAGAGAGGCACAGGTTGGGTTCAAGTTCAATGTCTATATTCTCAGGATAGAAAGGAAATGCAGATCATCTCCAGCTGCTCATACACCAGGAGCTGGTGGCCTGTCCCCAGGCTTGCGGTCAGGAACAGAATGGGATGTCTACTGTCTCACACATAGACAGTGTGTGTACCCATTCTCCATGCAAACAAGCGAGGGCCATACTTGCGTAGGAAAGTGTGTGAGAACAGAGAACTAGAATGGTGGACCCCGTGCAGCCAGGTTCTCACACCGGCACCCTCCCTGGGCTGCATGGACTGAGTCTTGAAGGGTGGTGACCCTTGCTGTGACACCATTCCTCCAACATCTTGCCATCACAGTCCCAATTGTAGAGACAGAACCACTTTGGAGAAGCAGCCATGACCTTGGACTTGCCTCCACTGGCTGGTTTTGAGCCCCTGTCAATTCATCTACAAAACCAGATGGACAGCTCCTATTTGGTGTTGTTACAAAGAATGCAAGGGATGAAGGAAGCAAGGCGCCTGATGCATTCATGATCACGTGGGGAAATCTCGCAGGGTGGTAACACACTCTTCAGGGGTCTGTGACACTGTTTTGTATGCAGTAGGTACTCAATGTATGTTTATTGGATTAAACTGAGTAAAGGCTATGGGATGCACCCCTTGGGTTCCTGATCATAGCAATTTGCTCACCTAAAACAGGATGGCCCCATGACAGTCACTCAACCCTGGGCCTCCTTAAGGTGATGTTCTCTCGGCCACCTGCACATGGACGGGGACCCTCAGAGCCACCACAGGCCAGGGCCCCAAGGAAGAGCTGGAGAGGATGCTGGGAGCTCCCTTTGGACATCCCTGAAGTTCAAAGGAGCTGCCTGTGCTCAGGCATCTGTCAGGAGATCCCTAAGGGGCATAAATATGGGAGCAGGTGTTCAAGTGCCCCACTTGAAAAGCAGAGGTCAAATCCTCCATAAACTGGGAGGGGAAAGAAGAAACAATTAAATGGCCACATCAGAAATGTGGCCACACTTTCTGCTCTCTAAGGCATGTTACAAGCCTTCGCCTGTGTGTTGGAGGGGAAGACCGCGTTCACCTGCCCACACCGTGGGGCTCATTGACACAACCGATGACCCCACATTCTGTGGCTTCCAGACTGTTCTATCTGGATGACATCTTACTGCTGTGTCCCACATTCACCACAACGGAAGTGAGCAACAAAGGGCTTTCCCCATATAAACGGCCTCTCCCCTCTAGCTGACCAGATCTATGGGGTGCCACGTACGACGATGCCAGTCTTGGCCCTGCAGTTGGTTGCTTTGTGCTCTAAAGGATATGGCCTAAATTTAGAGCCATACTCTGAAGTGCTCTGCTCTTAACACTGGAGTACTGTTTCTTTGATTTTTGAGACAGTTTTCAGAGAAACACCTCCAAACATTGACTGGCACTACTATTTATCTAATAAAATACACCACGCCACGTGCCCACAGAGTAGGCCCTTCAGGTCTGCCGACCGCTGGGAGAGTAAACACTGTTGACTTCCCGCATGCGCGCCTCTGGGGAGCACAGCTGCCATCACCATCTTACCATCTCTGCACCCTGCTGGGAACACACCCCTTACCCATGTGGGGTATGTTTACCTTGCCGTTTCTGAAGCATCAACTTGAGTTTGTTTCCATTTATGCCACCTAGAAGGTTGAAAATCAAAATCAGTTTTAAAGTTGCATGCTATTCTGTGATACATGAAAGGTCCAAATCAGAGTTCGGAAAAAGCACGGGGTGCTCCTGTCTTGATTCGGTAGTTACCGTATTTAATGCTTCTTGCATTCAGCATCCTACAGGAAAGACACTTGAGGCTGCCAGTTGCTGACACTGGTGACAATGATATGGTGGACCAAGGACATTACAACCTGAGCTGTCCCCTAGGAAAAGGGACATTGTTCCTTTAGCCCTTAGGTCTTATTTTAAGGGCCAGCCGTCCGCCGAGTGTACCCCCTTCAGACTCTCACTTCATTGATGTCATTGGTTGAATAGTATCCCCCAAATGCACATCCACCCAGAACCTCCAAATGTGAGTTTATTTGGAAACACACAGATAGACTGTGTTAAGGATCTCAAGATGACAACACATGAGATTGAGGGTGACATCCAGGGGCTGATGTCCCTGTAAGAAAGAACAAGAACACACAGGGCAGTGCTGTGTGGCAGGCAGAAATGAGCCAACGACACAATGCAGCTCTCTAAACACTCAGCCCAGTTTCATAGCTGCCCTGATCCTCCTCTGCCTAAGCATTGCTGGTCTCCTTTGCTGTTAGGTCTATTCATTTTTAAAAGAGTTTCAAATCAGACCAATCATTTTAATAGAAATAACACCTCTGGTCTGATAGAACACCCCGCCTCTCTTCCCAGTAACCTGGTTTGAGGATCTCTGGAAGCCTCCAATCCTTAACACTGCACACAGGAATAAGGCTTGTCTCAGGAAGGGTGAGCCCAAAGCCCCTGGGAAAAGACCCCTGGCATCCCAAGCCGTGAGCACCCGCAGGAGTAAGGAACTGGGCTGCACTGAGACAGCAGTGCCCACCTCCTCGCCTGGGATTGCCGCCTCTCAGTCCGTAGCTGGGCTCGGGTGGGGATGGAAAGGGATGGAAATCTGCATTTGTATCTGCAAAGGTACAATATTCTGGAAATGGAACCATAGCTTTTGCCATACTCTTGGAACTGTTGTGACCCAAATAAGATTTAAAATCCCAGCTTGATTTGTCAACTGCACATTAACAACCCTGGAAATTAAAAAAAAAAAATCCCACTTAAAGAATTGATTATGTAATTGGATGGACGGAGTGGGGAGAGGAGATTCTTAGCCAAGAGTCACACTCTGGCTGCCCCTAGCTGAACTCTACTTGCAGGCATGCTTTGCTGTGTTTATACAACTTGAATTTGAATGCCTCTGAACCCAAGTGTTCCACACAGGCCACAGTCATCCACTGTCCCCCCGCCAGGCACACGAATGTGCTGCCCGACTGCCATCAGACGGACTGTGCCATCCAAGGAGCCTGCTGGTCCTGGCTTTAGGTTGGGATAGGGAACCTGCTAGAAGTCACTAAACCTATTTTCCATTCAAAGGCCTGCCTCATGATTCACAGGGCTCCAAGGACTCATTCTGGCTCTCCAAAGACTGTCCCAGATTATACCTATCATACTGGTTATCCATCAATGACAGTCTTTCATTTGTCTCTCAAATGTGTTCCAACTTGTGTGATAAATTATGTGGTCACCCTGGTCTTAGAAGTTTAATAGCGTGGGAATGACTTGGAAGAATCTCTGGGGACTGTGCATAAGTGGTTGCTGTCCTAGCATCTTGCACAGGCAGGCTGGCCGTCTGCTGGATAGCAAGCAAAGACATTAGTGCAGTGTGCAGCAGCCTGTGACAGAGATGCAGTGGCTTTTGTTATCTTAGCTCAGATCAGTGCACTGTGAGGTGGTTGTTCACAAAGCAGCTGCAATCTCTGGCTGCAGGGTTCACCTCCTGTCTCCTGCGTGTGCACTGAACACATACAGACTTCAGGGTAACGGTGATTTCACAGATTTACATTGTAACAGGAATTATATAAGTATTCTAGAGAGGATTTAAAGTATAGGGGAAGGTTGCATAGGTTATATGCAAATACTACCCCATTTTCTGGAAGGGACTTGAGCTTCTACAGACCCCATGGGGGTCCTGACACCAAATCCTTATGGGTACCAAGAGAAGACTGTACTTGACAAATCTGTTCCATCACCAGTCTGAGCAGACCACCACACTACCTTTTGGTTCAGTTCCATCTCACTTGAAGAAGGTGATTAAAAAAAAATATCAGAGTTGTTGGCCAAAAGAGTGTGTCCAGGGCAGACTAGGACCCAACTATGTCTTATAAAAGAAGAAAATTATAGGTGGTTAGGTGTTTAACTTAGAGGAATCTCCCAGAGGACAGTAATGGATGGCTCTAACAGGCCACTGGGCCCAAAGATTAGGGCATAAAACAAGTTTTCTCACATCTGAGCTGTCACTCAAAATGGAACAGGACCGGCACTGTGGCATAGTCGGTTAAGCCTCTACCTGCAGTGCCAGTATCCTATAAGGACACTGGTTTGAGTCCTGGATGCTCCACTTCCAATCCAGCTCCCTGCCAATGGCCTGGGAAAGCAGTAGAAGATGGCCCAAGTGCTTGGGCACCTGTACCAGAAGAAGCTGCTGGGTCCTGGCTTAAGATTGGCGCAGCTCCAGCCATTGTGGCCATTTGTGGAGTGAACCAATGGATGGAAGACCTCTCTCTCTCCCCTCTCTCTCCCTCTCTCTGTAACTCTGACTGTCAAAAAAAATAAATCTTAAAAAAAAAAAAAGAACAAATGAGGTTCTGGCATTGTGGTACAGCAGGTTAAGCTGCCAACGGGGATTTCAGCATCTCACCCAATCCAGCTCTCTGCTAATGTACCTGAGGAAGCAGCAGAGTATGACTCAACGACTTGAGTTCCTACCACCTGCAAGGGAGACCCAGATGGAGTTCCTGGCTCCTGGCTTCAGCCTGGGCCAGCCTTGGCTGTGGGATATATCTGGGGAATGAACCAGTAGGTGGAAGATCTCCCTCCCTCCCTCTCTCTCTCTCTCGTGTGTGTGTGTGTTTGTGTCATTGTCACTCTGCCCTTCAAATAAATAATCTTCAAAATAGAACAAGTGGCCACAAGAGGTTCTGATCAAGAGTTGCTGGAGGCTGGCGCCGTGGCTCACTAGGCTAATCCTCCACCTTGTGGCGCCGGCACAACGGGTTCTAGTCCCGGTTGGGGCCCCAGATTCTGTCCCAGTTGCCCCTCTTCCAGGTCAGCTCTCTGCTGTGGCCCGGGAGTGCAGTGGAGGATGGCCCAAGTGCTTGGGCCCTGCACCCCATGGGAGACCAGGAGAAGCACCTGGCTCCTGCCATCGCATCAGCGCGGTGCACCGGCCGCAGCACGCCAGCCGCGGCGGCCATTGGAGGGTGAACCAATGGCAAAGGAAGACCTTTCTCTCTGTCTCTCTCTCTCTCACTGTCCACTCTGCCTGTCAAAAAAAAAAAAAAAGTTGCTGGAGGCATCGGAGTATAAATCAATGGGGCTGAGCACTTGAGCCGGCTACAGAGGGGATTATTTGATGAGATGCGGGTGGGACTGCTCTTACAGCCTTGAATCAGTGAAGAAATCCCAAAAAACATTTGCTGAGGCAGACAGCTATGTTCTTTGGTGCTAATATTAGGATTCATTGGTATCCTAACATTTGTTGCTCTACACAACTCACAGGGTAGCATACACGGAATTAAGTATTGCCTCTCCATCTGTTTGCCTTCTGTAAAAGTGCTTAACTGTTAATGAAGGAAATGTCTGATGTGGAAATAGACAGGGGGGTTTGGGCCTTTGCAATGAGGCTGCAATTGCTTGCAGCAAGTGTGTGTCATGAGAGATCCACTGATTCTCAGCTCTACAACTGAAAAGCGTGGATAAGTCCCACATCATGAATTATGAATGTTGCTAGGCTGTGGTAATAAACTCTCCTGAACTGAGCCCATCCGGTTACCTGGCACTGGATTCCTGGCAGACTCTTATGATGCCCCCTTGAAGATACTAACTATGAATAGATTAATCAAGGAGGTTCCATGATCATCTTCTCCATTAAATGTCTTTGGATATCCAGATGGAGTTCCTGGTTCCCGGCTTCAGCCTGGTCCAGATGTAGCTGTTGTGGCCATTTAGAGAGTGAACCAATGGTTGGGAAATCTCTCTCTCTCTCTCTCTCTTTGTATCTCTCTCTCTCTCTCTGTAACCCCACCTTTTAAATAAGTAAATCTTTTTTAAAAATGTTTTTGGCTATCATAAAGACCCACACTTGGGACTCCATATGAAGATTTTCATTTCCTGTCGTAAGAACATTCACATTCAGCTCGGTGATGACAACATGCTAATCAAATCCTATCACTAAGTTCTTGGAATAAACTAAATTAAAATAACAGGCTCTGGGGGCTGGCACTGTGGTATAGTGGGTAAAGCACCCGCAGTGCCGGAATCCCATATGGGTGCCGGTTCAATTCCTGGCTGCTCCACTTCGAATTCATCTCTCTGGTATGGCCAGGGAAAGCAGTAAAAGATGGTCTAAGTCCTTGGGCCCCTGCACCCATGTGGGAGACCTGGAAAAAGCTCCTGGCTCCTGGCTTCGGATCAGCTCAGCTCCAGCCATTGCAGCCATTTGGGGAGTGAACCAGTGGATGGAAGACCTCTCTCTCTCTCTCTCTCTCTCTCTTTCTCTGCCTCTGCCTCTCTGTAACTCTGCCTTTCAAATAAATAAATAAATCTTTTTTAAAAAATAGGCTCTGAAAATGAATGACTTATAACCAGGGCTCTCTCGACTTCCTTGAATGTGCTTCTTGAAACAGGTGGGCCAAGAGCAGTCAGGACATGCTTTGGACATCACCTCCCACATCTGGGTTTGAGTCTCCAGCTCAACTCTCAGTCCAAGGTTCTCGCACCTGGGCCCCTGCCAGCCCCATGGGAGACCTGGATGGAGTCCCAGGCTCCTGGCTTCAGCCTGGGCCACCCCAAGTTGTTACTGGCATTTGGGGAGTGGACTAGCAGATGAGAGATCTCTCTCTACGTGTTGCTGTGTCTCTCTGCCTTTTGAATAAACAAAAAACTTTTAAAAAGAGAAGGAACAAAAGTGAGGGGAACGAGATAATTCATACAGTGGAAATCACTGAATAGCTTTGCTGTGGTTGATCTAGAACAGTAACCCAGCCATCCCACTCCTGGGAATTGACTCAAGCAAAATGAAGTCAGCATATAAAAGAGTTACCTGTCCCTCCATGTTTATTACAGCTCAGGTACATAGCTTAGATATAGAAGCAACCCAGATGTCCATCAACTGATGACTGGATGAAGAAAATGTGGTATATATACACTATGGAATACTATTCAGCCATAAAAAAGAATGAAAACCTATCATTTGCAACAAAATGGATGCAACTGGAAACCTTTTTGCTTAGTGAAAAAAGCCAGTCTCAAAAAGACAAAGATCATATGTTTTCTCTGATACATGGCAGTTAATACAGAATACAAAAAATGTGTAGGAATAAAGCAGGCATGTTGTGATATGATTGTCATTTTTAGCCTTTGTTTATACTCCTGTGCAACTGTGGCATTCCTACTTTTCACTTGTTGAATATTGTGGTTAGTGGCGAATTAAGCCTGTGATTACACAGTGGGTTAAAATTACTCCTTTGCAAAAATTAATGCAAAGAAAAGAGGGGAGGGAAGGAGGAACTTTGGGGGAGGGAGAGGACAGAGGGAGGGAAATATGGTTAACTTCTTAGAACTGTACCTGTAAAATACACGAAATCTGGTCTCTTTATATTAATAAAAAATGTTAAAAGATGATATACTGAAACCCTAAAAAAGGAAAGAAAGAAAAAGAAGAGTAACCCTCTGCATCTGAGCTCCCACTGCATGAAGACCCCGGCCTCCCTCCACCTACAGCTCCGTTTTCCACTCCTGGTTTGGATAAGCTAAGCGCAGAAACCCGCCAAAGAGCAGGTCTTCTACTTCCATTAGAAAGACCCAGCTACGTGGCAATGAGACAAGCACCCGTCCAGGGTCTGGGCAAGGCTCTGCCTGCCTTCCAGCTCCAGTTTCCTTAGCAGGAAATCTGGCGGTCACAACACCCGCCTGGAAGAAGTGCGCGTCCACCGCAACACCTACTCTACCTTTGGGGCCAGGCACCAGCCGAAGGTGACATCCTGACAAAGCAATACCGCGTCCGATTGTGTTCCTGAGGGTTCTGGTGTGCGCACACCCCAGCATCTTCCTGCCCGGTGTGTCGCTGAATGCACTTTTTTAGAGAAGAGAGTTTCTAAGCTTTCAGCCAAGTCACCGAGCGCTCCACGAAGGAGGAAACGCGAAGCGCGACTCCTTTGAGAGTTGTTCCCCCGATCCGGGGTGTGAGGACTGTGCCCTGTTTTGCACACTTGGAACTTGACCCCGCGGAGAAGCAGGCTGGGAAGCAGCCCAACTCTGTGGCCTGCGTGGGGCCATTTGCCTCCCCTCGGTGCAGGGCGCACAACCTGCCTACATCACCCGCAGCGCCTTTGTCCCTTACGTTAAGCCCAGAAACACTCGGTGCCCACCCTTCGGACTTCTTCCTCCCCCAGGGGCTACCCCGCAGATCCGAGACCCTCCACGCGGCCCTGCTGCTCGCGCTACCCACCCCAGCACACAGCAGTGAGCTCCTACAAGAGCACAGCTCTGGACCTGGCGCCCTGATCACTCCTTTAGCCCTCTCAGGGACCCCTGAAGTGAAGATGGGGTCCTGCACCCCATCCCCGGATCTCCCTCCCTGAGCACCCTGGCAACGCCACCCTGAGGCACCCTATTTTCAGATCTCAGCCTTGGCAAGTCCCCACTCACCTGGGCCCATGCACAGCAGCAGGAGCAGCGCCAGCCCGGTCAGGGCCAAGACGGTGGGCCGCGCGGAGGAGGCTGCCATGGTGGCGGCACAGTGGACAGCTGGGCTGGGGACGCACGCCGAGCCGCTGCGCGCGAGGACTGGGCGCGAGGCTCAGAGGCGCAGGAGGGTAAGCGCTGCGGCCGCCGGCGCGCCCTGCGTTCCTGCGGGGCGGGGCGCCGGGTGGGCGCAGTGCCAACAGGCGGCGGGCCCAGGGACAGCGCCGAGCGCCAACAAGCGCCCTTGCGGCCGGCTGCCTCTCCCCGCCGCGGCCAGGGATGCTCCTGACGCTGGGGACCCCCGGGAGCCGCCGGGACGCGTGGCCGGCCCTGGGCGCGGGGAAAGCGCTGAGGACACAGCTGGGCTGCAGGGGCCCAGGGTGGGCTGGAGGCAGCCGGGAGGAAGGAAAGGGCCCCAGCCGCGTAGCAGGGCCAGGATTTGCGGCGTGCGGGCGCCCAGCGCGCTGACTGCTCTGCTGTTCTCCTTACTGGCGCGAACACAGACCTGCCTTCCCCATCCCGCTCCCTCCTGCCTCAGATCCCGGCTCCAGCTTCGGCTTACAAAGCGGCCTTTGGAATTTCCTTGATTGCTGAGCTGCCCTGAAAGATGCCTTTGGCAGAGCTGCGTTGTGTGATACTTTATCTCTTCATTCATTTAATAAAATAAGAAACTAAAACAAAAGACTCCACAGTCTGGGCTCAGAGCTGCGGTTCAGGAAAACGTCTTTGCAGAAACCCGGGGCAGGCTGCATTGCTGCTGTCAGCAAAATCAACGCCTCTCGCTGCTCCCGGGACAATCCATGACATTAAAGGGAGGCTCCATAAAAAGGCAACACTGCCTTCCCAGTACCAGGCCTGTCCACACGCAGGGGACACCCAGCAGTCGCAGGGATCCAAGGACGGCTTGCCCACGCTCACCCTGGAAGGTTACCTAACCACCTCCAGGCCCCGTCGGCAGGGGCGGTGAGGTGAGCTTCCATCAGGGGTCCTCGCCACCCCAGAGCTGCTCAGAGCTCAGCCAGCTGCCTCTTGGCCTCATCTAGGATTTTCCTTGTCACACCTTTGGCCGCGAGTGCTGCCTTGTCCTTGTGTGAAGAGCCCTCCAGGAAATGCAGCTGGATTTCTAAAGCTCGCAGAATCAGCTCTTTTTTGGTTTTGCTTTGAACTGTTTCTTCCAGAATAGTTTTTTAAAAAAGATTTATTGATTTATTTGAAAGTCGGAGTTACACAGAGAGAGGAGAGGCAGAGAGAGAGAGAGAGAGAAAGAGAGGGAAGTCTTCCCTCCGCCGGGTCACTCCCCAATTGGCCACAATGGCCAGAGCTGTGCCAATCCAAAGCCAGGAACCAAGAGCTTCTTCCGGGTCTCCCACGCAGGTGCAGGGGCCCAAGCACTTGGGCCATCTTCTACTGCTTTCCCAGGCCACAGCAGGGAGCTGGATCAGAAGTGAGCAGCTGGATCTCGAACCAGTACATGGGATGCCGGCGCCACAGGCAAAGGATTAACCTACTGTGCCACAACGCCGGCCCCCAGAATAGCTTTAAACTTAGAAAAAAATTCTGAAGTAGTACAAAGAGTTCCCACCTACCCCACATTCACTGTCCCTTGCTATTAACATCTTCTACTGTATGCTGTATTTGTAAACCATATCCAGCCGCCCCTATCATTAACATCGCATATTAGTATATTTGTCACAATTAATGTACCCCATCCAGCTGCCTCTACCTTTTTAAATCCAAGCTCCCTGGATCCTTCCCACCCCACCCAGCCTCTAGGTATCCCCATTTTCAGTTCAGACTGAGTTTTTTTAAAAAACATTTATTCGTTTTATTCAAAATGCAGAGTCACAGAGAGGCAGAGGCACAGGCAGAGAGAAAGAGGGAGAGAGAGAGAAAAGGAGAGAAAGAGAGAGAGTACATTCACACCTCAATTGGCTACAAAGGCTGGAGCTGCTCCAATGCAAAGCCAGGAGCCAGGAGCTTCTTCTAAGTCTCCCACATGGGTGCAGGGACCCAAGCACTTGGGCCATATACTGGTTCGAGACCCAGCTGCTCCACTTCCAATCCAGCTCTCTGCTATGGCCTGGGAAAGCAGTAGAAGATGGCCCAAGTGCTTGGGCCCCTGCACCTGCATGGGAGACCTGGAAGAAGCTCTTGGTTCCTGGCTTTGGATTGGCACAGCTCTGGCCATTGTGGCCAATTGGGGAGTGACCCGTAGAAGCAGAAGATGTTCTACTGCTTACCCAGGCCGCAGCAGAGAGCTGGTTCAGAAGTGGAGCAGCTGGGACTCGAACCAGTACCCACATGGGATGCCAGCACTGCAAGTGGAGGCTTTCCCTGCTACATCATGGCACCGGCACCACATATGAGGGAGAACATGTGGTATTTTTCTTTCTGTGTCTGATTTATTTCACTGAAGATGATGTCCTACACTTCTGTCCATTTTGCTATAAACAACAGGATTTCATTCTTTTTTATGGCTGAAGAGTATTCCATTATGTATATATGCCCAACACTCCGGTTGATTCTATATTTTGGCAATTGTGAGCAGTACAATAAACATGGTGGAGCAGGTATCTCTTTAATACAATGATTTCATGTCTTTTGGGTAAACACCCAGTAGTGGGATTGTTGGACCAAAGGGCAGTTCTGTTTCTAAATTTTTGAGAATTATTCTCCATACCATTTCCCACGGTGGCTGCACTCATTTACATTGCCACCAACAGTGCATAGGAGTTCCCCCTGTGGAAGACGACTCACAACACTGCCCTGGTGAAAACAAATGCTGGCAGCTGAAGAAACAAGGTTGATATGAGCCTGGGAGTTGAGTAACTCTTCACGGGGGCTGACCAAGGTGCCAGAGAGAATCAGAGAGGAGATTGTGCACCTGGCTGTGGCAGGGAAATGCACAGAATCCCTTGAGGAGACTGTAGAACAGAGGGTGGGATTAGGAAAACCATGCAGAGGGACAGATGCTGTGGTGTAGCAGGTTAGGCCGCCATAAGGGCACCCATTTCAAGTCCTGGCTGCTCCACTTCCAGTCCAGCTCCCTGCTAGTGCACCTGGGAAAGTGCAGTGGATGTCCCAAGTGCTTGGGCCCCTGCACCCACATGGGAGACCTGGAGGAAGCTCCTGGCTCCCTGCTTCAGATTGGCCCAGCTCTGACTGTTGCAACCACTTGGGGAGTGAACCAGTGGATGGAAGACCTCTCTCTCTCTCTCTCTCTGTCTCTCTTTGCCTCTCCTCTCTCTGTGTAACTCTGACTTTCAAATAAATAAATAAATCTTAAAAAAAAAGAAGCAACTAGGCATGTATTGCCTTTTGCCCAAGGAAATAACATCTATTAGGAAGACAATCAAAGCAAGTAGAAAGCCAACATGGTTTTAGATGGGCTTAGAACATGCATTAAACATATGAATTGTAATCTCTGCTTATCATGTGGAGATCGTCATCCTCACCCAAATCTTTGCCCATATTTGCTTCTGATGAGTCACTTAATTCTCTCTCTCTCTCTCTCTCTTTTAGATTCATTTATCTATTTGAAAGAGTTACACAGAGAGAGAAGGAGATGCAGAGAGAGAGAGAGAGAGGTCTTCCATCCGCTGGTTCACTCCCCAGATGGTTGCAACAGCTAGAACTGAGCCGATCTGAAATCAGGAGCCAGGAGCTTCTTCCAGGCTGCCCACATGGATGCAGGGGCCCAAGGACTTGGGCCATCTTCTGCTACTTTCCCAGGCCATAGCAGAGAGCTGGGTTGGAGCAGCCGGGACTCGAACTGGCACCCATATGGGATGCCGGCACTGCAGGTGGCGGCTTTCCCCCACTACACCACAGTACCAGTCCCCTAATTCTCCTCTCTTAACCAGGCTCTGATCACAACTGAGTTCCTGTAGCAGGTGAGGACAGGAGCTGCCTGCCTGGGGACCTCCTTCTTCCAACTATTGACAGTCCACTGGCATCTCACACCCTTCCATTTCAGCTGAAAGTGCAAGCTGGCGATTTTTATTTTTTGTTGATTCAGAGATTTCACAGGGAAAAAAACTACTTTATTCAGACCATGCAGTTGTAGGATTTAAAAGCAAAACAAATATCAAATTCTGATTTTTTTTCTGGGCCTGGACTTTAAAAAACAACCTTGGTAATTCTTTCAAGTACAGGATTGATAAGACAAATCAAGGCTCCTACAGAAAATAATTTTTAAAGTGATTACCGGCAAAGAGAGAAAAACATTTCCTGAGAATAAGGACCTATTTCCTCTCCCCAGGGAGGGGATAGAGGCTCATTCACTTGTCACCGTTCCTGTCTGTCAGCTGCACTGCTCAAGCTGGTGTCCTGGGTGGCGTTTGGGGGATAATGAGAAGAAGCTAAGTTTCCACTTGCAAATCAAGAGGAAAGAAGTCATTATCTTCGGATGTAAAGGACCCACTTAGCAATCACGTGAGGCTCGGATGTTCAGTGGCTGAACAAGAATGTTTTCTGTGAGATACCACAGTTCTTGGATAAGTGGAACATAATGTATCCTAAATAATTACTGAACTCTCCGTCTCTGCCAATAGTTGGGGTACCCTCTAGACATAGAACTTTTTATTGGAATATACTATAGGAATGCATAGAAATCAAACACACAACAAAATGACTTAAAAAAAAAAAAACAACATTATCTGCACCCAGGAGCTCCTGGCCCATATATAATATCATAGTTTAGTGTTAGGTCTTCGTTTCAAAACACCCCATTCGTCATTCATTTTCATGTCTGTAATTAATAAAAAGTGTTAAAAGGATAGATTCACAGCTGTGTCAATTTAGTCCAATCCAATCCAATTCAATTCAATCCAGGGTCAATATCTAAAATCTCAAATGTGTTAGCATGCTCACTGAATATCTTTAGTGTGGGCAGGTGCCCTAGAGAGGTGTCTTGGATTGGGAATTCTTGTCTGTCTCACACGCAGTCAACAACATGCTCTCACCACTAAAAAGGCAGGGTCAGAACACCTGTTCACCCCGCCCTTACGTCTTTCACCATTTTCATTCATTGATCCTAGTGGGGTTTTGTCTCTCTCCTCCACACAGCAGGGAAACGATCACTTTTAGAGGATGTCTGGAAGGAAGGTGACTTTGGTTAGGTCTCAATTTGCCACAATGGCCACTTCCTTCAGAAAGAGCTCCCAAGAGTGAGGAAAGTCCCCCATCCCCAAGGAAACATCTGTGAAGCCCAGCAGGGAGCCCTCACTCTGCCTGCAAGGCAGCCTGAACCCAGGTGTGCTGCCTGGAGACTCAGTGACAGCTCCTGAGCCCATCTCTAAATTCCATCCCAGTAAACAGCTTCCTGCTACAACAAAATACCATACACTGGGCACCTTGCAAACTGCACAAATAGATTTCCCACAGTTCTGGGGGTTGGGAAGTCCAAGGTTAAGTCATCCACAGATTTGTTGTCTGGTAAAAGACTGCTTCCTGTTCTGCCATGTCCTCACAAAGTGGAAAGAACCAGAATCCCTCTGGGGTCCCCTTTATAAACGCACTGAACACTGCA